ATATTTTTTATTCCATTGCTGCGTCATTTTGTCACCAACAATAAACCTAAGATGAGGTTTTGCTCTTGCTCTTGCTGGTTGGATGCATCACTCAGTCTCTCTATTCTCCGTCTCTAGCAGAGAAACAGGAGCTTTGGCCAGGCTAGAAGGACATGTAACTGTGGTGATTTGCTCACAAAAGGAGCTTCAAAAGGATTTTTTATACCATGTCATGGCGAGCGTGTGTAGGCCTGCAGTCTCAACAAGATTTTGAGCAATTTTGGTGAGAAACCAGCCGTGGAAGGTACAGCACAGGCAGCAGTGAGCATATTATCCACCGTGAATGATGCAGGTCTCCACTAGTATCAGAATCATCTCACTTTGTTTTGACCAGTAATTGCTGCCACACCCCTTGAGCCAGCCAAAATAATACAGAAACCAACACACACAGACATTCCAGCACTGACTCATATCATGCTCTCATTAATACAAGATATCTGTGCAGATTTGCCCCTAATTTGCCACAACACAGAGACAGTGTGTGCTCTGCCCTCTTGGTCCATACCAGTGTTCCAGAACATCTGGACAGCTGAAGGGTTTACAGGAAAGATTTTCACTTTCCAAACTTTCAGACATGATTGGTGACATCACAATGTTTTAAAAATGGACCGAAGTGGACCCATAAAGAGACAGATATGAGAAGAGGTATAGAGGAGAGGGATGAGAGTGTGTATGTGAGACAAAATGCTTTTTCTCACAGCTCAGCTGGATAAATCATTTATTTATAAGTTCATAATATCCTCTAGTCTGTGATGCACCATTATTTTCTCATACTGTGATCATAGTGCTTCTGGGCTTTGGAGGCAGAGCAGCTATGAAAATTCTGCTGATGTATTTTTATGTGTTTCAATATTTGAACAATTGACAACCCTTAAAACTAGTAAATGTGTCCATATTATGTTGAATGGTACAATGTACTGATAGTCTGGTAATGTAGCTGATAGCACAGACTGCTAATGGGTATAATGATGAGGTTTACAGTGAGAATGTGCAAATATACAGCAGCTGAAATGTAAATACAGCTGAGTGATATACTGCTGCACGAGTTCATCTACAGTCAACTTGTCATGCCAAGAATAAAGACCTGAGGCACTGCGGCTGACTTCAACCCACGCATCTCTACGAAGAGACAACAGAGAGAGACTTCTGATCGTTTTGTTGTTAGGAGGTAAGGGATAAATAAATGTCACGATTTCATATTTGATATTTTATTGAATTGGGAATCAATCTCTTGCTTTTAATTAATACTGAAAATAATATTTAGCTGCAGCTCAAATCGATATTACAACACACATCTTTGGTGCAACATGTCTCACAGCATCCAGTCCGTCTGTTAGTCATTAAAAGAAGAGGAGGAACTCAACTGCACTGCTACAAGCTCGACCAAACCACAAAGGTTAAATCGAGGGTGTCAGAAATACAACACTGCTGCAGGCTTGTTAGCTGTCAGCTCTCTGACCGCCTGCTAATGAGAACACTTGTTAGCATCTAACGAACTACTGACTTGTATAACTATATATTTTATATATAGACTGGTATCTAGTATCAATTTATTCTACACCTATAAATCATATTTGAATCTTGAAGATGTACTTATTTACATGAGAGCTTCTACAGTCAGAGTACTGCCAAAGTGTTTCTAATAACACTGCTATAGTAGGTGTGCAGGTAAACATACAGTATGACTTCAGGAACAAGAGACAGAGAACTGAACGTTCCCTATTTTTCTGCTTTCCGCTGCCTGGCAGGTGCAACTGGTGGCGGTGAATGATTTGAGAAATCCAAGCCCCTGAGCTCTCTTCTCCTGCCAGTGCTTTCAGAGGCCGTTTGGATTACTGTAACACAGAGATGACTCATCAGCCTTGCGGCTGACAGTCTGCTCATCCAGCCCAAAATGGCATGTTTATTTTTTTTATTTTATCTGGAGAAGGCGTGCTTATTTTCAACAACACCCTGCCTCACACTCACATGGAAACATATATTCACTCCAGTTCAAGCAGATTTCTGAGGGAAAATATATTTGGTGGCAAACTGAGGAAAGTGCAACTCCTCCCGCTACAATTAAAGCCGCAGATGGGCACAAATGCCTTGTTTAATGGCACTTAAATAGCAGCTGTGAGAGAAGAGAGCGCTAATCTTTATCATTATGTATATAAAGTACCCCAGCAGATGTACTTATTTAACTCTGAGATGAATGTGGCTGGTGTGCAAGAGAAATAAAGCTATTTAATGCAATTCTTAAGGGAGAAAATCCAAACTGAATTCACCCAAGAATCCTAAAACCATGTCCACTTATGTGTGTGTGTGTGTTTGTCTGCACATGTATCACGCAGTTTAATGTGAGACCGTGCCAGGCCTGCCCCCTCTGATAAGCAGGTCTGGTACACTTTGTGAATGTCTGATTGAGGTCCTCCAGGGAAGGCCGGCTGAAGTAGAGGGGGGTAGTTTGCATTCTTGGCCATTTCATGAAAAAAAAAGGGTGCAACCATGGGAGTAAGCCAAGAGGAGGGCTCAATTATGCATGGTTAAACAAAGCCCAAGGCTACCAGCGAGCAATGTCTCAGCAAACTCTGCCTCACTCTGGAGCTCCAGACTCCAGGAGGACCATACTTGAAGAAAAAAAAAAAAAAAAAAAAAAACAGGAACCACAAAACAAACAGGGACATAAGAACATAGCTCCTGATAAATCACTGGATTGTGTTATGACAAGAGCAGGCACTTTGAAACTAAACTTCTCAGAGGCCTTCAAAACACTGCTTAAAAGAAAACATTCCCATTCACATGAGGTCAAATGATACATCACCGAGTTTACGTTACCAATAAACCATCTCGAGAGGCGGTATGGCCCGTGAAGCTATCAACAACAACCTGCGCTGAGCACAGAAAACGACCTGTTAACTCATCCTGGACGTGATTTCTCCAATAAACTCAACAATAATTCTCACAGGAGCTGTCTGTGGTTTTCATCTAACAGCAGTAAGGTCCCACATAGCTGTTTTATGATGTAATTACCCCCTCCAAAAAGTAATCCAGTCATTCTCTGAGAGTATTTTTAGCCTTCAGAGGAAATAATCTGCTTGTCTCGCAAATAAGTTTGTTTGAAAGACCTGTGTCTTTGCTTCATGGCATCCCTGAAAGCAGCTTTCTGAGTGGAGCCAATGACTCCTAAATAAACCCCAAATCATAATCAGGACTATTAAAACAGCACTTAACCAGGTCAGAGGCTACATTTCCACAGCAAACCCCACAACTCCAGCAACTGGACACTCAGCATCTGGCCCCTCTTTCTTCACACACACAATAAATTGGAAAGTATGTGGCTTTGGTTACATGTAAATTATAGGCAGTTCTTCCAGAGCCGGAGGGGGTGGGGTGGAGGATCAGTATCCATGTATAGTACACATATGAATGGAAGCAACCTGGCTAAAAAGCTCTCTACCGACATCTTCCTCTTGTTTCTCCAGGAAACAGGAGAGGAGGGCTCGAGTCGGGTGACAGGGGCGTCTAATAAAAATCCACACACACACACACACACACACACACACGATCTATACTGTGAGCTCGAGAACAGATTTAATTACAGTCTTGAAGAACAAATAATGTCAGCATTTTATTTCTTTGTGGCATTATTAGCAGAGAGAACTGAGCTGCCCTGTTATTCCACTGAGCCGACTTCAGGCCTGAGGACTTTTTTTTAAGCAGCAGATGTTTTGATTTCCGACCACAACACCACCTCTGACAGGAAGCTGGTGATACTAATGATGATTCTTCAGCAGAGACAGCAGCAGCTGAAGCTCATAGCAAGGTTGTACGAAAGAATTCAGAAATCTGCAGAGAGAGAAAGGTGAGGATCCCGGAAGCGGAAGCAGAAGCATCAGCATACATTTTCCCCACAGTTTTCTGTTTTCCACTGATGCTGTCTGTAAGATGTGGGATATTTTGACAGCATAAATACATTTGAGGCACCAGAATGATTGATTTTAAACACATCACTTGTCTTTAATCACCTAAAGAGTCCTAAAGCATAAAGTGGCAAACTTTGCTTGGCTTTAGACCAACTGATTAGCCTGGTTCCAGGCCTACAATCACTGCCCACATCTCTGAAGTTTTCCAGCGATTCAGATAATGTGTGGTGCTGTTTTCCCTGGCTGAAGCAATCAACCAATCAGAGCTTTGGAGGTGAGATCAAGGATGCGGGCATAATTTTCCTGGGACCAGAGAAGTAGTGACAGAAAAATGGCCTCAGAAAGGGCAATGAGCAGGGATGAGACTGACACAGCTATACAGGCTGTCATGAGTTGACCCAAGTCAACATATTTCCTCACACGGTGAAAAAAAGTCATCTGGTCAAAGCGACGGCTTCCACAGCCTCTGTGTTAATCACAGGTTTTCAAACTGTGAGGGGAGCCTTCCCCAGGGGGAGCAGGAGAGTTGCAGGGGGTTGCATGGAGGAAAAGATCTGAGGCAAGGACACTGTGTGAGATGAAACAGGCAGGTGCATGCCGGTGTTCTGAAAGCTTGCGGCCTGCTTGTGCACACAGTCAGGGAAATTGCAGCAGCTGTTATGACACACAGCTCATGTAGACGATTGAGGTGCTTTAAAACACTTAGCGCCAAATTATTGCGTCAAAACTCCAAAACACTCCTCTGTGTCGTATCTCAGTCAAATCTGACCATAAAAACATGATACACATATTTAGAGTCAGTGAGACTTACACACCATCCAGAATAACTGTCCATAAATCCACTTAAAATTCATTGAGAAAAGATGCTCCTTATAACTCCAGAAATTGCCTGAGAATTATTACGTTTTTAAGTTTTCTTCGGTATCAAAGTAATCCAGTGATAGTCATCCATATATCCATGGCTAGGCTCACATAAGGACACATTAAGGCAAGGTAACGTTCACATTTTCAGCTGGATGATGAACCAGTTTTTACTATTATTTCACTTTTACTTACCACAGGAGCAGCAGGTGAAGCAGTTTGTGTGATACAGATTCCCCATGGCCTGGCAGGCTTGGCTGGCTCCATACACACCTTTCCCACATTTGACACAGATACCTGTTAGAGACATGTGGTCAGTTAGCAGATGCCATGTATCCTGGCTGAGCAAACTACTGTGTATGCAGAGGCAGAATAAGAGCATCCTGCATCCAGAGTGGGAAGAAAATCTCCTGGTGAATCATTTAAAGCATTTTGTCTTCATGAGATTTTTAACATTGTTAGAAATGCACATCATTGAGTGGCCTTAAGGCAAAGCACCATGTGAACACTGATTTACTTCTTCTTTATGGCTAATGCTATGCTAACAAGCTTGCTCTGTTCAATAATGATAGTGTTTGCCACCGATGTGCCGCATCAGAATCAAACAATTTCTGGACATGCTGCCAGCTTTGTCGGAGCTTTGCTGGAAAGCTGATCAAAAAAACACCTCTGCCAAACCGTGTGTGCAACAGTTAAAAAAAAAAAAAAAGAAAATGATAAATCTGCTTCAAATGTCATCTCTGCTATATTCCAGAGGCTCTGGAGCTTTTGATAGCGTTTGAAGACCAGCATCACAATGAAAATCTGAGGTGTCAAAGCATGTCAAGCTCTGAAACCACACTGTGCCAAACACCAAACAGTAAACAGACTCTGACAGGAGCAGAGCTGTGCTTTTAACTGAGGGCTAAAGACGCATGAGAGCATTCCAAATTTCAGTTTGTGATTACAAGTATAATATTTCTCAAAATGATTTATATTCCAGTAGCATCAGTCTCACCTAAACTTCTGTCATTTCCATGGATTACATCATACCGTCTGAAGGCACACTACTGATGATTATTTCAAAGTATGCTGACAGGAAATGCAGTGGATGTGAGGGGATTGTCAGGAAGGGCAGGCCAGAAACAAGGTGTGCCAACAACTTAGAGCTTTTGATACGATGTGCTGCTAATCAATCATACCAGAGTAAGAAACCTTTGCACCCCTGAACTGACTTTTAGGGGTACGTTTGCAGTCTGAGAGTCCATTTTAAATGAGCTACAGTATAGAACATCTGTACAGTATATAAATCAATACTCAACATGTACAACTAGACTCTGTTTTAGATGCTTCAGAGATGAGGATGGTGCTGTTCCCTACTCTGCAATTATGTTTTGGGTTGTTAACAGGATTTTAGAAATATTGTGATCATGAGTACAAATTCCCTTAGCACATCCCCTTCACCCACTGAGAACTTCTATCTTAAGTATTTCTATGTGGGAGACAAGTCAGGCCTTGTTCAGACTGCCAACCCAAATCTTGATTTTATCCACATTGATTGAAGAAGGTCTACAGAGCAAAAACTTTTGCAAATCTGATCCAAACCACATTTGGAGTCTGTTTGAAATGCGATTCCAATCAGATTTCTACACTGCAACTCACACTGAACGCTCTTGTCGAATTTCAAAGTGCCTTTGAACATGACACACAACAACGGCAAAACCAGAGTGATGGAGGTGCTGAGCAGAATCCATGCTGCTACTAGCAGAGCACTGTGGAGGGCAGCATGAGGAACAGCAGTCTGTGGACAAACACTAAAATGAACTGAAATGATTAAACACAGCTTGACAGCACAATTGTTTGGAGGGCAAAATGATGGACCTCCATTCCTGAGGCTTCTGTGTTGGAAAGCCGTGTTACCAGTCTTGCTACATAGTAACTGATGCCTACATCTTTTCCACTGCAACCCACGCAGATAGTCAGGTGACGTCTGGACAGACAAATCTGATCTGATCACTTGCGAGTAACAGTGCGGACAGGATGTCTTCACGATCTGATTTAAGGAACAAATCTGATTTGCCTGCGCTCAGCGTAGCCTTAAAGTTCAGAAAATGTTATTATTCATCATGAACCCATCACTCAAAATCATCATCAGGACTGTGTGGGTGTTTGATCAGATTTGACGGACAGTCCCATTTCAATGCAATGAGGGAGGACAGACAAATGTACAGAAATCCGTCATGTAAATTAACCACAACTGTTCAAACTTCTGCAAAAACTTTTGTGTTCTTGAATGACTCCCAATGCTAACTGTAAGAAGCTTATTGAGAAAATAGATTTTTGGGGCCTTTAAAAGTTCACCATGTGCGATTTGTGTGTAAATGATGTCCTCCTTGGGATGCATAAAACCAGCCCTGGGAGGGAATGTCGGCTGTCCACAGGTACATGGGCACTACACATCAGCCTGAACAAACCAAGTACAAAGAGCATGATGACCTTTAGCGAAGAAATGAGATAGGAGGGTGGAAACAGTGGCTTAAAACTATTTGGCCGCATCAGCAGCAGACTAACGATCTTCAAACTCTCACGCACAAGACGACCTCCACTGGGGTCACATTCCTCAGGGAGTGCAGGGTCAGAGCCTCGGTGGGGTGAGTCCAGGGTCACAGTGCCTACAGGACACAAGATCCCAACAGGGAGCTGGACACCACTCCCCTCCTCCCACTGACAAATTATTACACTGAATTATCTTTAAAATAAATTCACATGTCCAGAAGGATTCAGAGCAAGGACACACTTTCTGTGACGTAATCGTAGAATTCCCTGGCCATCTGAAGCAATGATTTCTCTTTCATAACAGCTCTGTCTGTGACATTGTAAGAAACAGATAAAGGACAAGGGTACGAGAAAAGCACCCAAAGGTTGCGTACATGTCTTCCTATTAAACCTTAAGTGTTTACACAAATGAGTTAATCGGAATCAAAGTCAAATATTGGCATTTCCTGGTGCAACCTGAACTCGTGACTTCTCTCTTGCACTCAACAAACATAACCAAACGTAATGTGGCAACAAGAGTGAACAAGCAAACTTCAAATGAGCTTAATTGGTTGAACAACATCTCCAAAATAAAAGTCCACGATGCCAAACAAAGTGGGAGAAAACACAGGAACCTGCATGTGCTAGAACCTTTTTTTTCCTCCGTGCATTCTTCTTTTAAGACTAAAAACCCACTCAGTGAAATCTCACAGCAGGTAAAATTAAAAATGGTCATCCTGATAAACCCATAGGAATTATCAGCCAAAGATGGTAGAAGTTGAAGCATTTACTGCTGCAAATTGTTTCTTTGAAATTCTGATTTGATTCCTGTGTTTGGTTCAGCTTAGGTTTCTTATTCATCACTGGAGCTCAAAGGAACTTGAAGCAACTTTGTGAACAGACTATCTTTTTATAGACTCAAGGAGACCATGACTGTAAATAAAAACGCCCTCTTGTAGCCTCTTAATTAGAAAAGCATCCACGCACTCACATTTGCTCCCAGTAAATGACACACGCTGCATTTCGATCAGATATATTATATTCATTTATCTTCTGTAACCACTTATCCTGTTAGGGGTCGCGGGGGGGGCTGGAGCCTATCCCAGCAGACATTGGGCGAGAGGCGAGGTACACCTTGACAGCTTGCTAGACTATCGCAGGGCTGACACATAGAGAGAGACAACTATTCTCACTCACATTCACACCTACGGTCAATTTAGTCAGCAATTAACCTGCATGTTTTTGGACTGTGGGAGGAAGCTGGAGTACCTGGAGAAAACCCACGCTGACACGGGGAGAACATGCAAACTCCGCACAGAGGGGCTCCCCCATCCCAGGGTTCGAACACCCCACCTCAAGTTCGAAACAGAAACCCTTCTGCTGTGAGGCGACATCTCTAAACGCTGCACCACCGTGCCGCCAAACTGATTACATAAAATTTATATTTCTTCTTGACTTCTACAGCACAAACTTTTAAAAGGTATAATGTTCTCTGTATTGCATGAAACACAGGGGCAATATGACAGTTATCCATTTCTTTCCCATAATCACACTAGACAGCCCATTTATAATTAGCCTACTACTTATCCATGGTCTGATACTGTGGTATTTGGTCACTGCTTTATTTCTACTATTTCTATTGCTTCTCATTCTACTCCCATGTGAATATATTCATCTTGTACTTTGCTAATCTCATTCTGCCACTGCAATGACCTAATTTCACCCTATCTTACACACTTTTAAACCCTCTTAATTTTGTAGTGTTGCATGTGATTGGCTCGTAATTATGAATGCTACCTCTTTTGTGTAAGCGTGCAGAATTAACTGAGTGAGTGTTACATCTAGTGAGGACCCAAAGATCACAGGCCAGATCATGATACAACCCCTTCCTCTGTGCTCACCCAGGGTGTTTGTTCCTCTTCTGTTACTGCATCAGGACAGCGTACTTCCTTTACCGCTTATTTGCAATAACAATGGATGACAATGACAAGCTTCTTTTGATGAAGTAATACTCAGCAGATTATTTATGTTACCGGTAACTGCGCGTGGGTGGAGTGAAACATAGTGTATTGTATGTGTATTGATTTCTCTACTGTATGTACTGTTATTCTGCCGCCTGTCCCACTTGTACACTAGCATCACAATGTAGCCTCAACACAAAGGTTGCCTCCATGGACCAAACAGGCACAGCTGACTCACTACACATCTGTACGAAGACAGCAGGTGTGTGTGTGTGTGTGTGTGTGTGTGTGTGTGTGTGTGTGTGTGTGTGTGTGTGTGTGTGTGTGCGTGTGTGTGTGTGCTCTTTAACCCCTAAATCTCATGTCACCATGTGTCTGCTCTGTTTCGAGAGGCTACATTTTTATGTCTTTTCCACAGAATTAATCTATAGCCAACGCAATTACAGACACAGCATTTTAACTTTGATTTTCTCTACCCACCAAAAAAGTATGATTTATTTATGAAGCAGTATCGATTTACCTTCATTATTTTATCTGTCTGGGTGCTACTACACTGCAGTTTCTTAAAAACTATACATCATGTGCTGGCAAGACTGTCGAGATTTCTTTTGTCAACATTTGTTAACATACAGGGGACATTTGAAACATTCTTTGTCATGACAAAATCACTGGGCAAACATCTGTCATAAAAATCAACATGTGATTTGTTCTCATTACCACACATGCCAAAAATCTTGAAGTGTCTTATGAGCGAGGATGTGGCTATCGTTTTACAGGGCAGTAGGGAAATCTCCGAAGCACTCTTGTTATTCATTTAAAACAGGATGCTGGATCCCTCATGTGCCCATTTCATAACATGTTCATGTGGCAAGGACAGGATGTTGTGCATTCACTGGGGTTAAAAATAAATCATCATACATCCCTGCATTTTTGAGCTAAACACTGTTGTTAAGATCACGCTGTAATGTTGTTAAATAGAGCAGTAGCACGCTGCTCAATGTGGGTGTGTTATTATGCTTGTGAGAAAACTAAGACTGATGAGTCTGATAAAATAAAAGCAAGGGATGGGTAAAGTATGTGTATTATAAAATATGTTTAATGTTATTTCTGATGAACATCAAGAAAACGTAATGTGGAGGACCAAGCAAAGGAAAAAATGAGATTTTCTGATGTAACAGTGACATTACATGTGATATATGAAGTAATTGGAATATAATAATGATGATAATAATTCATTTGAGCAACTGTTTCACTTGACTTCATATTCTACCATCACTGAAACCAACACAGAACGTGCTGCGAGTTGTAAGAAGGCTAGCACAGCCTGATTCATGAAACTTTAACGACTGCTCAGTGTGGTTTGACGTCTTACAGCAAAGTATCAAACTGATCTCCGAAGGTATGAGCAGGTTACATGTGAAGTGTCAATCAAACAACTGCAGCTGAATTCATAGAGGGAAGAATTGCAGATTTTAAGTTTGTGGAACCGAATGCTGCCAAATGCTTTAAAACCTCTGCACGTCTTACAGGAGTGATTCAGTTACTGCACATGGAGCAGGCTCATGTATCTTCCCTGTACAACATAATTACGGTCCTGTATGATAAATCACAGTACACTCAGCGCGCACAACATGAAATTAATAGCACCAGGATCTGTGAAACCTCACTGTGGCCACAAATTTTAAAAAAAGACAGTATGACATCTGAAATTTAGACACTAGACACTTTTTGGTGAATTCTACAGCTGGTGTACGATTGGATATGTTGCACACCCCTTTACTGAAATAATACTGACACTGCTATGTGAATCTATGAAAGGAACGGTGAAAAAAGGGGAAGCAGATAGCCTTTATAGCATCAAAGCCTCGAGATACAGCATAATTTTAGGTAAGAGGTCTTCGCTTGTAATCTGAGAGCATTTGACACATCAGAGGATCATGTAGGCTTAAAACTTAAAGTAAGACTTAAAAGGAAAACATCTAATCTTGTGTCAGCTGCAATTTGTGCATGTATATAGCACATACAGAGGGCAGTCCAGTGTGCTGTTGCCCACAAGTCAGCATGTATGTGTGTCTGTGTGTGTGTGTCAGGCATGTGCATGACTACTGCCATTATAATTCTGGGCAGGTGATCAGACTTGACCCCCACCAACTATGTCTGGCCCGCCAGCCAAGATCGTGTGCCAAGTGTCTGGTGTTGCCTGACTCCCCACTGACTGGTTAATGAAGGGCTTCGCGGGGGAGTCAGGGCGGGGTGGTGGTGGTGGTGGTGGAGAGGAGGTGGGGGATGAGGGGTGGGGTGGGCCTCCCTCTGCTGCCTCAATTGCAGGCCTGTATCGGGCCAGCTGTTGATTCACAGCTCCTTCGCCACCACAACAAACACAGGCCACACAAGGGCCAGCCAGTGTGGGACACTGGCAGGCACTGCTGCCCCCCCCCCCCCCCAAAAAAAAGCCCCAGCGACGATCAATTTCTCCACTGTCGCTACGGAAACAGAGCTGTCTCTATTGGGCTCGGAGTGTCTGACTGCATTCTTCTCTCTCCCTCCTTTTCCTTTCTCTCTTCTTTCTCCATTATCGCTCCTGCTCTTCTCCCTCGCTATCTTCCTCATTTCTGCCTCCCATCCTCCTGCTCTCACCTGCTTCTCTGGAACAAATCCACAGCTGTCTCAGCCTCACTCTGAGCAAGTGCACTGGCCATAAAACAAGCCACTGTTCTCTGGCTGCAGCCATTTGTCTGGCTGCTAATTCAAAGGTAGACAGCAACTTCCTCAGCAGGCTCTCTGTGCCTGTGTTAGTGCTGGCGAACAAAATGTATCTGGTCTCACAGTCCCTTATCACAAAAAACGCGCCATAATATTCAGTTGCTGAAATCAGCCAAAAACCAAATCATTGACCACAATCTATCCTCCAAAGGATGACTGCACTTTTAACAAATCCAGACCACACTGCTCTGAATGACCGATGGGTGTCTGCTCTGGCAGAACAGAAGGTTCCATTCAGCGAGGTGCAGTGCTGTGCAAATGTTAGCTCTGCCAAGACAGAAATTAGTATTGCCCTTCAATGCCACTCTTATCTGCCACAGACGGACCTGTTGGTGGTAATGTAGCATTAGCAGGTTGCAAATATACTCTGAAAAGATGACAAACTTATAAATAACCCCTAAGTTCCTGCACTGAAAAACTCCAGAAAAATGCTTCACTATTTATTTGAATTCAAATTTCAGTAGGCAGTCATCTTTGTTGAAATACAAAGCAAGTTTCACGCTAGTGCTATTACATGTTTGTTCAATTGTTGCCATGGAGAAATCTTTCTTTCTGTGCAGTGGATTAAAACAAACCAATACTGAAAACACTGCTATTGTTGGCTGAAAACCTTAATTTTGGGCCATTGTTTGGGATTTTAAACTTACTCTATCTGCACGACCAAAACCTACAGCAGCTTTTCTCATTGAATGCAACACTGTAAAGATCTGACAGATACCTGTGAGGTGTGCAGTCTGCAAGGACAGTATAGGAGAGGAGCCAGGTTCAGAGCTTCAGTGCCTTATACATGGCATCTGAGGAGAGCTTTTATGGCCTAATGTGCTACATCAATCAGCAATCACAGTTCACAAGAAATGCAATTCAAATGACTGTTTAAACACCCATTTTCCTAAATCACTTATTAGTTGATGCAAGACCTTATCCATATGTTCAATACATTGGAAAAATGCTCAATGCACCTTTGTTTTTCCTAACTCTCAGGTGTGCACTAAGGGCCACAGAACCAAAACCTCTTCCTACACAAAATGCAGTGTTGATAAAGGTAGGCTTGTGTTCTAGAGAGTTAATATTGGGTCAAAGTTGTGTATGTAAAAGTCCCAGTGGTTTATATGTTAACATATGAAACATACTCTTTTGTTTTTTCCCCACCCCCATCTACTTGCAAAGTTTTGGGAAAAAAACAACTCCAATTAATGTTACCTACCAAAGTATTCCTTTTTCATATGCATCTCTAACTCCTTTTCCAGCTCCAAAGTGAGCGCCTCCAGCCGCCTCTCCGCCTGGCTGGGTCCACTCTCCCGGTTAGGGGTCACCTGGTAAGGTAGCTTAAACCTCTGGCTCGAGGAGACTGCTTTGGAGGACATCCCATAACTAAATGATGATGGCGACCCCGCGGTCATCTCCACAGACCCTCCCGTCTGGGCTGACTGCTGCTGGGGCTCTGGCACAGCCGAGAGTCCCTGGAGATGGATGCGATTTGGAATCCCGTTGGAGTCTCCAAACTCCTGCAGCAGCGTATCCTCGTGTAAACTGCTGCCCAGCATCGATGACCTGGGTGAAGGCAGCTGCAGATCCGGGTAGGTGCTCATAGACCCCCTGGAGCTGCGGGAACTTCTGGAGCTGTGACTGGAGATGCTGGACCGGGGACTGACCACGCAGTTTGCGGTGGTCCCCGGTCTCGCGCTCCCGTCCTGGCTGCAGATGCTCGAGCGAGGACTCGCCAGCGGCGCTGCGTGTAAAATCGCCCCCTCCAGATCATGGTTGACCACGGGCCCGTACCGTGAGTCAGAGTAACTGGATCTCGGGCTGGTGGTGAAGGAGTACTGGCTCGCCGTGCTCGACCTGGGGCTAGTGTGCCTCTGGTCGTAGCCCATGCTGATGCCGCTGGTGCGGTTGCTGCTGGGTTTGCTGCAGCAGTCACAGCTGTTGAGGCTGGCCCGGGGGCTGGAGTGTTTACTCGTGTCGCTGGCAGTGCTTGCATAGCTGGATCTGGGACTGAGGACATTGTTGCCCTCACAGTGAACTAAACTAGACCTGGGGCTCGTGTACCTGTCCTGACCCGGTACCACTAAACTAGTGCGCGGGCTGCTGATGCTCGACCTCGGGCTGGCATGCTTGCTCTGCTCCTGAGAGGACAGGGAAGATGCTAAGCTGGACCGGGGGCTAGTGGCGTTATATCTCCCGTCGTGGCTGCTGGTGATGCAGACACTGTTGCACCTGTTGCCGGGCACTGCCACCGGCTTGTTCAGGGGCACGCCATCGAAGGCGGAGCCGGTGCTGTACCTGTGGCCCTGCACCTCCAGAGAGTATCTCCGGTGCCTGTCGGAAGCGCCCGTGTAGCACGGCAAAGCCACTTCGGATTTGGTGCAACAGCCCTTCTCGGTATAAACTGCGTCTCTTTGAGGGGCACAAAAATCCACAGGCACGGTCCGGGTGCAGTTTACAGGGCGCACCGGAGCCGCGTTGTACACTTTATTCCCAGTCGTGAAATTCTCCACTGTGTGATGCTGCTGGTGAAGCACAGAGGTACCATTCATTGGCTTACTTTTATGTTCTGCTACAGCCGGAGCCGAAAAGTCCAAATCAGGGTTAATCACCAAGTCTCTCCTCGCGTTGTACATCCCGTCCTTATACGCATCATACAAGGAAAGGTCCTCCATCAATTTACTGGCCCGGAGTCCCAAATCTTCCTGGTAGTGCTCCATGTTGTGCTCCCGAGGCGAGAAACAAGTTCAGAGTGTGCTCCGCTCCGCGAGCCAAACTAGCGAGCACCGCGGAGCACTAATTGCATTTCACATGGAAATCAAAACAAAACGCCGCGTTACAGCCGTCGCTCATTTACAGAAAACCACCGACGTACTGAGAAACCTCCACCGTGTGCCGCATCGTCTTCTTCTGCTTTGCCCCCTTCGCCGAAAACACAAACTCTTTCTCACAGTTTCAGCCGACAGGGATACGTTTGTCAACTTCAGTTTTTGTTAAGTTGAAAGGTCTTTACAGTCAATGGCGCGCTGCGCGGAGGAATTTCCCCTTGTTGGTTTTTCCTCTAGTTTCGCTTACGGTCACCGTGCAAAAATCAAAATAGGCTGGATAATCGGATACGCCATAAATATCCGTCGTGTATAAGTCTGAGCTCACCGAGCGGAGTTAAACCTGCATAAAACACCGTTTTACACAGGGGACTCGTTTGCGTAAAAGGAATGCGGGGATGAAGACGGGATGCGCTGCGCCTCTCTGGAATGTGGTTAATGCTGCAGAGAAACAATGATTGCGACCAACTCAGCAAGGGGCTGCCGGCTCTGAAAAGAGAATAGTTTAGAGAGAAGGGGACGTCTGCATTCATCCCAGGCAGACTAAAATACCACACAAAGCACGCCTCACCTGGTCCGACTCCTTTTACACCGGGAATAAGCTGCAGTAAGTTGGTACTATGTAGGGCAAAGCTATTTGCAACTCAAGTTTATTCACCTTTTTCCAGACTGATGTTATAAAGATGAAGATAGTCCCAGGTCTTCCTAACTTAGATTTATATGATTCATTTTTAAGATAATAATGTCCAATTACCATAGATAACTATATGCTCTTGTGGGAATATGAGGGATATTAAGATGATGGCAACAAAGGAGGATTTAAAAAGATACATCCAGTCTCAAAGACATGGTTAAATAAATTAAATGATTGTTCTGAGTTTTTATTAGACTGCACAAAAATATTATATTTCATTTTAAGTGAAATAAACTGAATGCAAAGTGTATGAATCATTTAAAAAAAATTAACAAAAAAGGTTTTCTATATGTTGATCACAAATGGACACCACTCTATATTTTATAACTCCATATTTTGTATATTATGACTGTGTGACTGTGATATATAGATATGCCAACAGGCCAGAGTAGATATACTGTAGTCATTATAGACAAGGCTACCAAATCTTTGTTTATCCAAGGTCTTCAAACATGAACACTGTTTACCTTTGTAAAACACAAACATAACCTTAACATTAAACCTTTAATCCATGTTAAAAAATCAAGCAAACCAAATTTTCCATGTCAGGATTTATTCATGACAGCATTTCATCAGATTACAGTTCCAAAAAAACAGCATTAAAAACACGTCTGTATAAGGTGATTATCAATCTTTGCTCCCAGAGATGTTCTTTCAAAAAGGTAACATGAAAAAAAGAGTTAGTATTTGACTTATAGTTTCTAACAGTGACAACAGCCCCGGGATGTAAAATTAAGACACTGAAGAGCAGAGATATGCTTCTTTTCACATGTGACGGGTGTTACAGTATAAAACAGTGTTTTTGAATGTGAAGCACCTGTCAGTACTGACTGATTTTGTAATAAAATGTGCTGATAGACCTCGTCATTTTGAGACATGTAAACAACCCAGTCTTGATACAGCATTCTGGAAATTGTCAGACTGATATTTTTTGCTTTGGCTGCTCATCAACTGCCAACAAATGGAAGAAAAGAGAGAACCACAGCAACAAAGGCAGAAACAAACAGGATGTCTAGCAGCAATCGACTGAGGAAAGAGCTGTGAGATTTTTTCCCATGGCCTCTGCTTCTGAACCATTGTACAACCTCATCCAGGTTGTGCTCCTGAGGCTCATAGCTGAGCTCTGCCTTAGCTTTTGCCATGCTGAAGTAATGTGTAACGCCAGTCTTATAGACCTCTGTACGTGTCAGCAGCGGCTGGAAGTTGTAGAAGGGCCCGATAAGATGGTGAATCATTTCCGTGAGAAAGGCAACAAAGTAGATGAGAGAGATAGGAAGGCGCAGTTTGGGGAAAGGATAGCCCAAGCCCTCTACCAAAGGTCTGAAGAATTCAAAATTGTTGACAGGCCTGCCATCTGAGATAAAGTAGGCCTGGCCAGCAGAGCGGTGCTGCTTCTCTGAGGTCAGAGCCTTGGCGGCAAGCTCATGTGCTGACACCAGGTTGTCCACATGGACAAACTCCACCAGGCTGCTGGGTTTACCATAAACAAACCTGAAGATCCCATTTTCTATGTAGCCAACTATCCTTGGCAGGTGCCTCTGCTCACCAGGCCCGTAGATTCCTGCTGGACGCAGCGCACAGCTTCTCAGCACCCCTGAGCCGTCCATCAGTGCTGTACCGTTTGCTTGTAGCACAGCCATCTCAGCCAGCGACTTGGTTCTGGAGTAGTGATCGGGGTGAAGATGGAGAGGTAGATAAGGAAGGCTTTCATCCCCGTTCTCTATCACTTGGCCTCCGAACACCACATTGAAGGTGCTGGTGTAAACCAGCCTGGACACTCCGTGCTCAACACAAGCCTTCAGGACATTCTGTGTGCCTTGAACATTCACCGCCTCGATCAGATGCCGGTTCAGCTGCTCCCTGCCAGACATGCCGTAGGAGGCGATGTGGAATACACAGTCCACACCAGCGATGGCCTTCTCAACTTGTGCATATTCACATATATCTCCCTGAACAAATACAATGTCCTCTGGCACTTCTTGCTTTGGAGGGACTGTGTCGAACAGAATGAGCTTTGCTCCTTTGTTATGCAGGGAGCATGCCAGGCTGCAGAGGAAAACAAGATATTAAATGTGAATTAATCTCTGCATGAAACTCACTAGAGGTTCTCAAATTGTAAATCTGATGGCATGTATATCTACTTTTGAATCTCCTGTGGCAGTCACAGAGCCAACTCAACTTACATAACTGGTGCGATAGCGCCACCTTGTTGTGGTATAGCAGTGAGACAGCACAGAGCAACTCTGAAGTCATGACTGAAGGTTTACTGACTGTGAATGTGTGCTTCATATTCTTGATTAACACACAAAGTGAAATTGTTCTTACCGGTAACCAAAATAGCCACATCCTCCAGTTATCAAAAATGTGTCTGTAGGTGTATTTTCCATTGCAGGAGGGTGAATCTGTCAGTTAAAAAAAATACAGTATTAGGCACATTATAAAGAAATAGTAAACACAGATGAAACCTCATAAATGAGAAAAGTCTGCTGACTTGACGTTACCTAACCTGCAGTCTGCAGGCTGGTTCACCGACCTTGCACTTGAGCAATTACACCTTTTATGCAACAAGCTGAATGCACTGACATCATCTACCACACTTACTTTCTCTAAGAGCTCATTCAGACTGCCATGCCTCAAACTATGCTACAGAGTAGTGTTACAGTGCAGTCACATGCACAGACAGTAGTCATGATCAATCCACAGCCTCTACTTGAACTATTTGGATTCCCTGTCGGTACCAACCTCAACATAAGACGGGTAAAACACGAGGGAAGTATCTATCAGACATCCAAAACTCTACTAACTTACAGCACTGGTTAGAGAACACCGTTGTGCACTTCTTTGGTCGGTACTGTGCATGTTTTTGTTACGTAGACTAAGTTACGTAAAAACCTCTCAGTAACTTGGCACAATCCATAAAACAGCCCCGCCATGCAGAGCTCGACCTATGAGCTCGACAGGCTTCGTCAAGTGTGCAAACAGAGAGGGAGAATAACACAGGAAGTAAGGTGACATTCACAGTGATAAAGTGATTAGCAGCTGGTTTCATTAGCAAAATATCCACAAATATCAAAATCATAATCTGTATATGCAGTGATAGAACTGTCACATAAGCGTGTGATTTTGTCCTTTTGTTTTTCAATTCCTATTGTATCAATTATGTCGTCTCGATATTTTCGCCAATGACGCTTTTATTTTGAAAGTTGTAACAGGATGTTGAGATCTTAAATGCAAGCTTGACGCGTTTTGCTGGCAACGGTAACATTTCCGGTATGCCCATCCTGCCTTCAGAATAAAAGCCGAGATTTTTTTTAATGAGATAATGTTGTAAACATTTGCATTCAATTGACGTACTCCCCAAACTTAATTCTTAATGCTAATTAGTTAAAGAAAAATAATGTAAATACAATCATATGCGTCGTTTGTTTAACTGCAAAGACTATATTCCATCAACAGTACCTTTATTTCATTAGGCACTGTACAGCTCATGTGAATGCATACATTACATGTTTAAGCACACTCGCTGAGCTGTACTTTATTTACATGTTATCTGTAAGAAAAGTGACGTTTCAACACAATATTGTAAATAAACTCTGAAGTGTTGCCTCTAGCGGCGATAAGCGAGTCTAACAACTGCAACGAAGGGTCTTACTGCAGTAGCAATTACAAAAACCCACCCTGAGTTTTTCAAAAACGCCTTTCTATATGTGATCAGCGTAGGATCAGTGAATTAAGAGGTACAGTAAAGTATTGAATGAAATGCTGCAAAAGCAGTCTGGGCAAGGCATAGGTTGCAGTTTTATTTTTTAATGTGCGATAAGAGCCTATTCCGGAAACAAATAGTCATTCGACTTGCAGGTCTCAAGATAACAGTTGCACTTCCTTTGAATTGTTTTGCTCAAATACTTGCACGAACAACCAACACATCGAAAGGTAAGTCGGCCCACTGCTTCTACTTATTTAATTACTGCTAGTAACCTATCAATAATGGAAAGCAGTCAGGGAACTGAGACAAATTTTGGTATATTACCAAAATGATGAAGACTACCTTAAGTGATACTACTTTTATAACTTGTTATGCATATCTGCTACACTTATTTAAAGAAAACATGTTGCCAGGTAAAATACTTAGGAAACTTTGGACTTTGAAACATATCGAGTACCCCTCCCTCATTCCCTCCCTCCCTTCCATGATATGTTCATGTAAAATGGGACAGTCGTGTTTGTTTATTTGTTTGATTTTCAAATGGTTAAATTCATTTATTATATCAGTCATTTAGTCATTAAATCATCAATGTAACCTAACTATTCATTAAAAAAAATGGCCTACTTTTCTGCTGTGCTTTCTCTGTCCTTTTGGTGCCTGTTTCCTTGGTGCCATACTGTCAACAATGGGCATGCCTGTGTGTGTGTGTGTGTGTGTGTGTGTGTGTGTGTGTGTGACAATAATTGCTAATTCTGGACCATTGTGACTGACATGGACTCACTGTATCATCTTCAAAAAGTTTTTTAGTAACAAAAATACAATAAATGTCTGTAATATTACAGGGTGGCACACAATAGCATGAGTCATGTTTTTATGACACCTGGTAGCCTAAAACATGCTGGTTTCACTTCAGAAAAATGTCCCATTGTAGCTCATTTTTTGTCCCATTGTACCTGAATGCATTAAGTAAGCTACTAACTCAAAAACCTTTTCAATACAAACTGAAGTATATTGTGAAGACATTTTGAAAGAAAATCAACATGCCACATGGCTTACCTCACAAGTTTAGGAACAACTGATGTTTTTTCTTTCAAGTCTTCGCCCACCCTTGTTACCCCTGACCAATCAAAATGACTGTTTGGGGATTTGCTCCTAATATTTAAAGACCCTAAGCCCAGAGCCTACCTGCTGGCCCACATCACCAGACTTCACCCTGTGCATTTTTGAGATGCATTTATGAACCACTTTAAACTGTAAAACAATAGAGATGACTTTGCCTTGACTTAATTAAGGATTTAATACTTCAACTAATGGCTTTATGTATGTCTTAAGTATGGCTTATTAGAAAGTGACATTAATTCATGTAATGTCATGTTTTACAGGCAAGATGAATTTGGAGGAATACTTGGAAAGAATTGGTTTCCATAGCTCTTTTGATAAGCTGGATCTTGCAACACTGAAGCTGATTCACAAACTGCACGTCATGTCAATTCCTTTTGAGAACCTCAGCATTCACTGTGGTGAGAGGATCACCATGGACCTTGAGGTCATTTTCAACAAGATAGTGAGGAGCAGCCGTGGAGGTTGGTGCTTTGAGAACAACTTCCTATTTGGCTGGGTACTGAAAGAAATGGGCTACGACACAAAAAAGCTGAGCTCCAAAATTTTCAAAAATAACAACAATGATTTTTTACCCACTGAAACTCATCTAATCAACAAGATCATCATTGATGGAAAGGCTTATATAGCAGATGTAAGCTTTGGGGTGTCTTCTCAAGTGTGGGAGCCCCTGGAGCTTGTCTCTGCAAAGGACCAACCTCAGGCAGCAGGTGTCTTTCGCCTCATAGACAAGGGGGACATCTGGGTGCTGGAGAAAACTGGTAGAAAGCCAGAGATTCTCAATCCAGACTTTGCAAAATCAAGCCTGGTGGACTGGAAGGTAACAAAGCAGATCTATGGCTTCACCTTGGTGCCTCGTGAGGTTGATCATTTCTTGGAGACAAACCACACACTCCAGACAGATCCTGCTTCACTGTTCATCAGGAAGTCCATCTGATCTTTGCAGACACCAACAGGATTCAGAGCCCTTCTTGGCTGGACCTACAGTGAGGTCACCTACAAACCTGAGGAAGGTGTTGATGTCTTTGACATGAGGAACATAAGAGATGATGAGATAGAGCAAATTCTGAGGGAAAAATTCAATGTAAAGCTGCAGAACAAGCTGCAGCCTGTTAACCATAAAGCATGGTACACGCTCTGAAATCTTGCACATATTCTTTTTATAATTGTCCTGTAAAGATCTCACAACCTGTGCTGATTTCATGACTAACCAGAGAGAGCAGCTTGATTAAAACAATGATAACAATGTTTTGAATTACATTGTTCCTGCAATGAAAATCATGCAATTGTTGGGACTGAGAAAAGTAACAATGGACAACATGTTTTGAATTTATGTTTTTTGTATATGTCTAAGAGTTAAGTATCTTGAGTAACTGCAAGGAGCAGACATGCTGTTCTTAAGTAAATGATTACTGACAAAAGAAAATCATTCAATCCAAGAAAATCAACATTGAAACACTGTTGTTTGCCATTATTATATGCATTTATTACTTCGTTATTTCAGTGTCATCTGCTAAACTTCCAATAATGTGTTATGAAGTTATAGGCTGTGATAATGTAACCTGTTATTCCAGTGTTCCAGACTTAGTCTCATCTATGTATGTCTAGATGTCAACAAAACTTGGTGCACAAACAGTTCCTTGGTTGGTGCCCATTGCTCCGAGGCTGTTGAACACCTGACTATTAAATGCCATCCACATTACCTGCTACATGAGTTTACAGCTCTGTTTGTAGTCGCTGTTTACATCTTCCCAAGTGCTAATGCTAATGTTGGGAGGATCATCACAATCGCATTGGCTCACTTGAAAACAAGCACCCAGACACTCTCCATGTGATTGCAGGTGACATTAACCATGTTCATCTGCAGGATACACTTCCAAAGTTCAAGCAGCACATCACCATTGCCACTTGAGGAGAGAACATACTTGATAGAGTTTACACAAACAGACGGGGGGACATATACAGAGCCACCCTCTGCTCATCTCCGATCACATCTCCATCATGCTGTTCCCTGCTTACTACATGGACCTGGACTGCAATATGCGTCATCTGTCACTGGCTACATTAGCAAGTATGTTGATCATGTTACCACCACCAGAACTATCACCATCTATCATAACCAGATACCCTGGCTTAATGCCCTCAACTCCTGTGATCCTTACTTTGAGGTATCTAACACCATCCCCTCCTCGAGGCTCAACCTACCACCAGTTGAGCTGCCCCTCAGCGTGACAGCAGCAGATGTGAGATAGTCCCTGCAGAACGTCAACCCCCGCAAAACTGCAGGCCCGGAGAAGATCCCATGCAGGGGGATCAAGGACTGTGCACACCAGTTCTCAGAGGTACTGAAGGACATATGTAACACCTCACTGTCCCAGGCACTGTTCCAATATACCTTAAGACTACCACCAACATCTTGCTCCCTAAATGTCCCGCAGTGTCATACCTTAATGATCACCACCCAGCTGCACTCACCCCAATAATCATGACATGCTTTAAGGGGCTGGTAATGACACGCATTAAAAAGACAGTTGATGTGACAGTAGACCCCCACCAATACGCTTACAGGAAGAACTGCACCATTGCTGACGCCATCTAATGTGTGGTTCATCAGGCTGTCAGAATCCACAGCATCGCATCCTACAGTATCATCCTCAACACTGTTTCCCCACAAGGATGCATCCTGAGCCCTCTACTGTACTCACTGCTTACCTAAGGCTGCACTGCTCTTTATTAAAGCAACCTCATTGGGAAGTTTGCTGACGACACAGCAGTGGTGGGACTCATCTCAAACACCAATGGCTCAGTGCATACGCAGGAAGTGGATGAACTGGTAACAGGGTGTAAAGCTGACAACTTTATCATCAATATTTGTTAAACCAAAGAGATGATTGTGGACTTCTGCAAGGCTGGTGTAACTCTTGTATGCTTCACTCCTCAGTAGATGCTTTTTATAAAGTTTGGGGCCCTTACTAAGCATACATTGGGCCTAAGCTGTCGTCTTCTGTATTTCAGGGGTTTCCTAAATCAGCTTAGCTGGTCTATACGTTTCCTCTAACCTTACTATTTGTCTTTATAACCTATTTATTTGTTTGATGCTCCCGCTATGTTGTTATAGGGGTGGTGAGGGTTGGAATAAATATGATGCCTCCTGTTTTTTTTTTTTTTTTTTTAAGCTACTTATGTTATTTGTCATGTCAAGTCTGAGCGGTTATGTCCTGTGTTTTATATGAAAAATGAAATAAACATATTCTTGAAATTAAAAAAAGACTGAACGCAGTCAGTCAGGACATTGGAAACTGGTACCTCCATTATTGGTGGCGAACATAGAGGAGCTACCAGAATGAGCTGACTGGGTTTACCACGCAACTGCCTGGTGGCCCCAGACCCCCAGGAGCCTTAAAACCCCCAAATTTACTATTTGGCCACAACCAAGAGTTATTTTCATTACCTGTACTTTTGATAATTGTTTTCTTTTTACAGTCGATGGATAAAATGTCAGAAAATACAGAAAAATTCCCATCATTATTTCAGGCCCAAGTGAACATATTGAAATTGCATGTTTTTCCCTCTGTCCAACAGTCAAAAACCCAAAATATGTTTAATATCATAGAAAAGCAGGGCAAACTAACAAATATCCACATTGTAGAAGCTTATACCAGTGAATTTCTGACATACTGGTTAAAGAAAATATCTAAACCAACTGATCTATAACACCCTGCTCGGGGGTTAATCTGGCCATGCTGTCAGAGATCACAACTCTGGTAATGGCCACTAGTAAAATGGTGCCTTATCTGCTCCTAAGGTGTAGAAACTCCACCAACACTTGTAGTATTTAAAACAACTTTATTGTAAGACCAATATGCTTCAGCTTGTGGCATTCATCAGGTTCACTTGCCTAATCTGCGTCAGACATGCTTCAGGGGAATAAAGTGCATTTAAACTCTGATAGCATCAGTACAAAGTCATAATACAAGATGTCTGTTCCCTGTGTACTCTTCATATAGTGAAGTAACAGTGGATCCGTATGTTAGTCATATATTGACACTTTAGGCTAATGCACATCAAACACACAGGTTTTACTGGGTAAACAATGATCTATGTTCTCCAGAAAAAAACAAACAGAAGTTGCCTTTCCTTTCGTCTTCAGAAGACTTCAACTGCTCGCACAATCAGCCGACATGAAAGGTATGCTGCACATCTTCCTTTTGCACAATTTCAGTCTCAAACTGTATATATGTAGAATTTGATATTTCAGACATCTGATTATGACATTTTAAAGTAATTTAAAACAAGCATACAATTGTACTTGATTGATATGCACTGAATGAGCCAAAACACCAGCTTTGTCTATGCCAGACTTGATCAAGAGAAATTTTAAGTTCCTAATTATCTGAGCTCTATGGTCGGCTCACAATCTGCAGCGATAGTTTTTGGTGTCTGGTCTACTTTTAGCAAATCTGACAAGAAAACTCAAGATAATCTATTATGAATGACATCATGAATAATAGGCTGGTGAGCAAAAAGTTAATGTCAGTCCCTGATTGTTAACTTTGAGACAGTTGAAATGACTTTGCAACTGTGAGTGCAACTCTAACTGGTAAACTGGTCCTATAACTGTATTGTCCTGTATTTTACAGGCAAAATTAATCTGGAGGAATACTTGGAAAGAATTGGTTTCCATAGCTCTTTTGATAAGCCAGATCTTGCAACACTGAAGCTGATTCACAAACTGCACGTCATGTCAATTCCTTTTGAGAACCTCAGCATTCACTGTGGTGAGAGGATCACCATGGACCTTGAGGTCATTTTCAACAAGATAGTGAGGAGCAGCCGTGGAGGTTGGTGCTTTGAGAACAACTTCCTTTTTGGCTGGGTACTGAAGGAAATGGGCTACGACACTATGACGCTGAGCTCCACCGTTTTCAACAATGTCCTTAATTCTTTTGACCCCACTGAAACTCATCTCATCAACAAGGTCATCATTGATGGAAAAGCTTATATAGCAGATGTAAGCTTTGGGATGACTTCCCAGATGTGGGAGCCCCTGGAGCTTGTCTCTGCAAAGGACCAACCTCAGGCAGCAGGTGTCTTTCGCCTCATAGACAAGGGGGACATCTGGGTGCTGGAGAAAACTGGTAGAAAGCCAGAGATTCTCAATCCAGACTTTGCAAAATCAAGCCTGGTGGACTGGCTGGTAACAAAGCCGATCTACTACTTCACCTTGGTGCCTCGTGAGGTTGATCATTTCTTGGAGACAAACCACACACTCCAGACAGATCCTGCTTCACTGTTCATCAGGAAGTCCATCTGCTCTTTGCAGACACCAACAGGATTCAGAGCCCTTCTTGGCTGGACCTACAGTGAGGTCACCTACAAACCTGAGGAAGGTGTTGATGTCTTTGACATGAGGAACATAAGAGATGATGAGATAGAGCAAATTCTGAGGGAAAAATTCAATGTAAAGCTGCAGAACAAACTGCAGCCTGCAAACAACAAAGCATGCTTAACACTCTAAATTCTGTTTATCAAATTGTCCTGAAAAGATCTCATAACCTGTGTTGATGACCAACCAGAGAGCAGCATCCTGAAAAAAAATAAAACCTCACAGGTAGTTTTCATCTTTGAATGTGGCCACATACTGCCAAACCCCCACTTGGTTCATTTAGCTCTAACAGTTTTTCCTTTGCCATCTTAAGAGGCCCTCTCCCTTAAAGCACAAAAATAAGTTCAAACAGGCTGAACGCAGTTGATTCATTGACAGAATCCCAGATGGCAAATAACAAGAACTGCAACACTACATCCCAGTCTCCTCACAATGTGGGCTTTAATCACTAACTTGAGGGTCTGATGGTACTGTGCAGCACTTAATGGCATCTTGAAACAGAGTATGGTATGCAAAGGACATAATCTCTTTGGTCCCTAGTTTATGCATAATTTTGTAAAACAATCCAGATGTTAAATTAGATCCAGGGTCAAACTGAACCTGAGGCAATTCTAGAAAAGAGCTGGATCAGAGCAGCTGCCATCATCTTAGCATTCATATTCCTGAAGGGTACAGCTTCAGGGAGTCTACTGTAGTGGCTATGTGAATGATAAATTACAAATAATCAATTTGTTAAAGGCAATGCCAGATATCCCAGCTGACACTGGGTGAGAGGCAGGGTACACCTTGGACAGATCACCAAACTGTCAAAGGGCTGAAACACATAGCCAGACAACCACTCACGCTAACACCTGTGGGCAGTTTAATGTCACCTTTGGACTGTAGGAGGAAACCATAAAACCTGCAGAAAACCCATGCTGACACAGGGAATATAATGTGAAGAACAGGTGTACTCAAACAGAAGGGCCCCAGTAAAGCGACAGGATTGAACCCCAGTGCTAACCACTGGACCACCACGCCACCTGTATATTTTAACTCTTCACATGGCTTCCAAAAGAGCAAACACAAAACGACAAACAAAACAAACAAGAAAAGCAAATATTTGGTACTGTACCTTGTTTGAGGCAAAGGCTGAACACAGTCACTTAGGAGAACGGATACAGGTTCCTTCATCATTGGTGGTGAACATAGAGGAGCTTTTGGAAATATCTTACTGGGCTTACCAATCAACCAACAGGCAAAATTTGTGCCTTGAAAACAACTTCCTGTTTGGCTGGGTGCTGAGAGAAATGGGCCGAGACACCACGATGTTGGGTTCCAGAGTTTTCATTAGTACAAGCAATGATATCATGCAAATCATGGTACACACCATGAATTCCGATACATATTCTGTTTTTAAATTGACCTTGAATATGTGTTAAAAGCCCAGGTAGAGCAGCTCATTAAATAATCATCTATTTCAAAAACGAATGGTGCTTGGAGTTTTTTTGTACAATGTCGATGATGTTGTTGTTTTACTCTTTAATGACTGAAAGAAGTTAAAAAATAAACCATACTTGTGTAATGCCATGTCATTCATTGCCATGTTTGCAGATCCAGAGTTGGAAAGTAATTGAATACATTTAAATTTAGTAGTCAAGTATGTCTCAGCAAAATATAAGCCAAATTGTAGTTTGTAGAAAAGTAAGGAAACTTGTTTTGAAATTAAACATCATGTGCAGATAAGACCAAGAAAAATTTAATCTAGATCAATTGCCAGGTGAAAATGTGAAGGAAAAAGGGGATCAGCTCTTCATGAAGACTGTTGCATCTACATATCACAAAGCTTGTGTTATAGAATTTTAATGGATCCTTGCCCATCATTTTCCAAATACAATGTATTCATGTGGTTCAACCTAAGTAAATAAAAGTATAAAGTCCTAATGAATGACAATATCCACATTAATAATTCAGCCAAATGTCAAACATACTGAACTGTCAAGTGCATTTAAAACCACATCAATTAACAAACATGTTTTCACAGGTGGATTATGAGAGAATGGGCACCTACTGACATACAGAAAGGCCCCACCACTTGTTGTTCTCCTTTACTGTAGTTATTTTGTGGCTCTTCACACTTCCTTTGTATCTCTTTGTAGTCTTTTTGTGTCTCATTGTGGTCATTTTGATTCTCTTTTGATTCCCTAGTTTGTACTTGTAAATTTAAGTGTCTTTTTGCATGTAAGGCAAGGAGGGCCCCCTGATACTTTGGGCCCCTGGGCCTGTGGGCAGTAGGCCCGTTCAGTAGTCCATCTGTGTATGTTGTATTTGAACTGCATAATTATGCTTGCATTTTATTGTTTAAGTCATAATATTTAATCATAACCTCATTATATGTTATTTAGATTGCTATTAAGTTTTTTATATTCTGTGTTTCTGTGTTTACTTGGACAAGAAAAGGGTTTTCTATGGAGAAGAGTGTTAATTTGGGTAACTAGCATCTTGGAAACAGCAGATGTTTTTTTTTTTATCATGGAAAATGGTCTGGACAGAGATCATGTTTTCATTCATTTCGATTTTCATTTTCAAACCAGTTCAAGACAAATTTACTGATAAAGAGCCAAATCAAAAAAAAAAAAAAAAAAGTTGGTCTAGTTGGACATTTGACCAAGTTTTTGCAAGGATTTGCAGGTGGAGGCTGCAGCTCCATCCTGCTGGCAGAGGCTTAGTTTGAGGTTTGGTCAAGCTGTCTGCCTGAATCTGCAGGTGGAGGTGGGGGGACTGCAGGTTAATGGCAGAGGCTGTAGATGGAGGAGCAGAGCTGTCTGCCACAATCTGCCAGTGTGGACATACCTGTTAGAGGAAGAAGAAGATGATGTAAACTGAATGTAACAGAGA